TAATCTGTCAACCATGGACCGTTTCAATAGTTAAGGGAATTTATCTGCATTTCTTTAGCCCAGTATTCCATTTTCGTCCATATCCTTTGAAGAGGGCCCAGAAGAGCACCAACAGCGTTCAAGTTACTATTAGGGGGGGGGGGCTGAGCCCCCCCCCCCCCTCCCCGAGAGTAAGTTAAGTCTCTGTTTGGTATGCATTTCAAAGGAAATACAATGAATTGACGAGAAAGTAAATAACTGCATCGAATAAGCCATGGGCACTTCCCTTTTTCCGGCATTCACAATATTTTAGCTGTTTTTGGATGCCATGCACCCAAACGTCATAGCTGGGAGCAGGGAAAGGGGGGGGGAAGCATAAACTCATCACTCCATGTCTCCACCCTCTCTGCATCCACCAATGCAGTCTCGTACCGTAAACAACAGTTGACGGTATGACGTGAGCATCAGATGATAATATACATGCATGCTTATATGTCATAAGCATGCATGCGTATTTGCATGCTTATATGCCATAAGCATGTCATGCGCAGCATCTGTCGCTGCAGCAGTCCCCGAGTGTCCGCCTTATCTTCGCTCCAGGCTGTCGCAGCTGACCGTAGGATTTTCGCTCTAAGCTGTCGCAGCCGACCGTGGGGTTTTAAATTTTGTTGATGAGATACGAGTAAAAGCTGTTGGATGTGCCCAAAACAAAAACAAAAACAGATGGGTGTACGGTGGCTAATGGTCTTTTGGTTAGGCAGAGTCGGGTATGTAGCGCAAGTTGCTTTGCATTTCACTAACCCATTCGTTTCAAGTCAGCTGATGTGTAGTCACGTTTGTTCCCGCCACGAACAGCGCTCACACAGAAGATAAGTAGCTTCTGTGGGCGATGTTGTTGAGCTTGTCCTTGAGTATGTCCTTAAAATGCAGTGACAAATCGTGGGCATACCAAAAGAGGTCACAATGCTACTGATAATGTCGACCAGCAGGTACAGATCGCTTGGCATGTAAAAGAGCCAAAAAACTTCCCTGTACATTTTCTCAAGTGCCAATTCGTAACTAGCCCTAGGTTCGTAAAAGTGCTACTCTCGTAAAGAACAGCTGGTTCGAATCGAACGTTAACTTCAGGGAATTCAAGTAGCGTGAGCAAAAAAAAGCTGGGCGTTGTCAGTTTGACTCTTCTAGACTTGGAAGAAAACTACTCGAAAATTTCAGCTAGCGCCCGCTCTATCTTCTTGATAAGAAAGTGGACGTACCCTTTCTTACTTGCCAGCGACGGGGTTCCCTCAGCATAATGCTATATTGTGTAATCACAAGAGCACAGTGATGCGTTTTGAGATAAAACACGGAAAAAACAGAGAGCCGAGCGACGTGCTTTTCTGCGCCCAAACCGTGTTCAGAAGAGAACGCGATAGTGTGAGATTTCCATCGTAGTCACGAACCCCAACCTGTTGTGTATGGCCGTCCAGGTAGGTTTGGAATCAAGTTAATCAGTTTTGTGTGTTGTTTGTTTGTTTTACAGCCTTGTAAGAAGTACGGTACGGTGGATAAGGTCAAAGCATATCGAAATGTCAGCTAACGCTAGCAAAGTGATTTCACCGTGGCCCATGGTAAGCACAAAATTGTATCGGTCTCTTCACTTAGGACTGTTCGGGACGTTCGTCTGGTTTTCGTGTTGATTATGCGGAAGCTAATCGTGCTGAACGAAGTACAAATTTAACTGCTGATGAGCAAAGCGCTCCAAAAATTTGCAGTTGCTGGCACGGCAGAAGTCAGGAAGTATTTAGACGGGTTGCCAAAGCCGCTTGATTTGGGCAACGGCGCAACTAATGCATGTTCACACAGTCTGGTACTAGACCGGTAACGCGACTTAAGTTCGCGATGTCAAACAGGATCTGTCCGAACTCCCCTAAAGCATAGCTGTAACGGTTTCGGACTAATGCTATCATTCTCACAGGATTAGATGCATTCATTTAGCTGGTGATTGCGAACAGTAGATGACTGCATGCAGTTGATCCTTGAACGGACAGATGGCGCCAGCGGCATTCTCATTGGTGTGCTGGTCTCCCTATGCACGATCTGCCCTCTACGCGCAATACAATCGACGTTCGCATGAGATGTTGAGTGTCAGGAGGTGTTTGGTTATGCTGTATGGAAGCAGCTTCGGGTTCGGCTTCGCGAAGCCGCAGTTTTGCTTCAATGGGTTTGGGTTCGGCTTCGGATTGGTGTCATTGTCAATACTAGGTTCGGATTGTGCTATGTTATGTTATGTTATCTGCTATGTTAACACCTGGATTCGGCCAAGTGTGTGGGCAGCGCTCGGAACCGATGACCAAGGTCCCGAATGGAGGACCCGGAAGGGCCGAATACCTGGCCATGAGTCACATTAGGGACCCAAGCCCACCGGGTCGGGTCTCATATAATGGTCAGACGGCTTCTTGCACCGATTGCTCAGACCAGATCAGACATGAGAACATGTCTGAACAACAAGGACAAGGGGATCCCCAATTAGGGGATGGAAAGAGCCTTGTGCCAGTCAGGAGCCCCAGCACCGGACAAGGGGACCTCCATCCCATTTCAGACAACGGTCCGACGAGTTGAACTGAAGTCCCTGTGCCAACTGTTGGACTCCCTGGAGCACCGAGGGATCCTTTTGTGTAGATGTCACTCCTGCAGTTGCGGGGCCAGCTGCCCCAAGTCGCAGGGCCTCCCGCGACGGGGACGGGACCGATCTATGATGTGTCCCTCCAGGGCCTCCAGCTCGACTAGAAGCTTCGAACTTTGTGTTACAAGAGAGGCAGCCGGTAAGCACCCCGGGCCGGGCGGAAGGGCCCTGCACCCCCTGACCGGAAAAGACAATAAGCCTCTAGTGTTGTGCCCACCGGGGAAGGTAATGATCTCCTCAGTATTCAAAACTCAGATCGAAATGAAACTGAAGCACTCGTATGGAACGTGGCTAGCCTATGTTTGCCTGAGGGCGCGCATCCCTTGTCAGAATCGACCAGTGCAACAAATAAAATCAAACAATTTTAGCGGCGAGCACTCGCAATCTTCAACAGCAAGAGCACCACTGCCCGGCGTTGCAGTCTCTGTAGAACCGAGAGTCGTTAGCCGTTGCAGCTAACATCAGGCGGTGGGTGGCGGAGTCCAAAAATAAAAACTGTCTGCAGATCATGCATCCAAAAAAAATTAAAATCACTTCGTACCCTTTAAAGGTCAGATCGTGGCTTGTACTTAACCTGGATTATTTTGAGATTGTCGTGCTAACGGATCAGCGGTTCCAGCAACACAAGCCATAGAGGTTCCACCATTACGCCAAACGTTCGTGATGCTGTAAATGCTAATCCGTTTCCATTATCAGCATGAAAATCCCACGGGGAGATATACAGCCAGAACTAAGCTTGAAGCATACTAACTTATTTCATGACGAATTCAAAGATCCTTATTTCTAATGCATAATCGTTTTTGTCCGTTCGTTCGCCGCCGTCTAGGGTTAGTTCTGGCCTCGGGACAGAATTTGCATCGCATTGCTTCGTAACACATTCCTCGCACGGCAAACTTCGTACGGAGATCTTCGCATCGCCATCACACAGCATTTTTTCGCGTGCAGATCTTTGTGGGCGCAAATTTTTGCGAACGCAAAAGTTCCTAGGGACAAGTATTCGTGACATCAACTTCCATGTCCCCAAATTTGCGATGCGCAGGTCTTCATATCACATTTCCTCATACACGCATTTGTTCGCATCGCGTTTCTCCGCATGCGCATGTCTTCCAATACCCAATTTTTCGCATGACATTTTTTGGTTATGAATTACTTCGTATCAAAATATTTCCCACACACGCGTTTTTTCACGCCGCATTTCTTCTCATACATAATCATTCGTGTTCCGCTTTTCACATATTGTTCTTTCCATCACAAATATTCAAATTGTATGCATTTGGCCGGAAGGGGATGGCCAAACGCCTTTAATCTTGTAATGGATAAGTTAGTGTATAAGTCTAGCGCGATTCTGGAATTCACATATATTGTATTGGGTAAGACATTCCAACGTTCACAATCACTCATAAGGCCATAAATTTGCTCCCAGATGGTACAAAATGGGGCAAGCAATGCTCATGACTTAACACGCGCCCGGGTGGCCGGCTAGATACCCTTTGCTCGGGTGGGGTGGGGGTAAATTTGATCCCCTGAGATCTCGGAAACTAAGAGAGCTAGAGACACCAAATTTACAGGGTGTGTTCACCTGTACGTGAACTCACTTAGGTCAAATTTTGAGGTTCCTAGGTCGTGACTTTTTGGTCAAATAAAGTCAAACAATGTCAAATTCCAGGCTGGTCTCCAAAGTATCCACAGAACCTAGGTAACTGTTTCTAAGCAAAAGTTCTCATACTCAGTTTAGATCAGTGCCCTTGTTTGACCTTTTGAAGGTCATGGTGACCAAAATCATACAAGACTGTTCTGGGTTTTGTACTTGGATAAGCGACAAAGATTACGCTAGGCAGTAAGTTCCTAAAAAAAAAAAAAATGCTGATTTGGGTCATTTCGGGCCAATGACTTATTCTGACCCCTAAGAAGTTCATGGAAAATGCATAATGCGGTTCATGCTTTTAATAAATTCAAAATGAGCACCAGAAACTATCCCATACAGCAAGCCCTAGAGTAATAAGCAGGATGGTTTTGAATTTGGGTCTGACCTTCACACCTGACCTTAGGTCAACGTAATTTGCTCATTTAATATTTGTGTTGCCTAAGAACGCATCTCAGATGTATGACTTCATCTAACACTCTGTTTGTTGCATCAGGTTAAACAATTCCCTAGAAATTGACTTCGCTGAAATCATGACCTGACTTTGACCTGGCATAGGTCAGCGCCGCCTTACAAGGTACATACAATTTATGATAGCGATCCGCTA